AATGGATCAAGGTTTGGCAGGGTTAAGGTTAAAAAAGAATACTCCAAAAAATCTGGAGGATCATGGTTAGGTAACAAATAGGGAACATTGACAAATAAATTAGTAAAAAGCTCTTCTTAAAACAGCATCAACTTTAAACATTAAAAACTTGAACCACAGCCACAATAAAACAGCAGTTAGACATGAACCACATATTGTACAGTACAAAAAAGCACACTGTAGACAACCAACATAAGATCAACACTTTGCTTACATGAAGGATTGTCCCAAGGGATTGCAAAGAACAATACCCTTGTAATTTCAACTCTAGCATCAGGCTCTTAATTCTGCATTACAGCATTTACTGCTGAGTGTTTGCTTAGGCTGCAGAATAACTGTTTGTTCCATTAAAAAGTAGGGGCTAGTTGCATTAAAAATGCTCTGAGATAGACAAAAACACTGCTAAGATTTTCTTTTAGTGTTCAGTTAAATATTGCCTCTGTCCTAACTACATTTATTTTTCAAAACCTGCAAGCAATGTCATTAGTAGAACTCCTTCATTAAAATAAAAAGACTATCCTTGACTGTCAAGTAGCTACTTGCACTCATGCAACAGTGACCCCGGTTTGACAGAAGACCACAATGCACACAGGTCAAACATGTAAGCAAGGCTTTTTTAAGCCGAATTTCACTGTTGTCTTAAAGGTAAAATTTAGTTTGTTATGCAACTAGCCGTCTGTATATTACACCTTCTCCATTTTGACTTTACTTAGGATTTAATTTCTAAAGCATTACGCATTCTCATATATGCCTAGTTTTGTATGCATTTGTCATGGGTTTCACATTTGGTGACTGGTTAGCAGTGTGCTGGCCATCTTTGGTTTGTAGAGGAAATCTTAACCATGAACAATCAAGGGGGCTTAAAACAACTTTTTAAATGCTAGCTTTTTACTCAAACTTGTATCTATACTACATCACGCCACATTAAGTAGAAGCACACATCACAAAATTGCACAGGGATTACAATATTACATCCAGTCTGCATAAAATTGAATTCCACTACTGACCAGGTCACAAAATGGCTGCACTTTCTAGTCTAAAACTAATTTGCATATTGTACACATGTAGGACATTTTTTTACTTCAGTCACAATAATGCATGCAAGTTTGTTTTTTGTAAGAAATTTTGTAAATTTGCTCATGCTACCTAGTTTCAAGAGAGCCTTTTTTGAACATTTGCAATAAATCACCTCTTGTTAATTAATAGTACTAGTGCATGCATATGGTGTATACAGGTAAGTAAACATGCAATTTTTTCACATTCTAAAACTATGGCAGTTTAGGCCATATTGTGCTGCCTGCATTTAATTTGTAATGCAGTGTGTCTTAAACGTTTCAATCCCGTATTAATAGGTGGCATTACACATAACACCTATATAGCAGCAAAGCTAATACAGCTTGTGATTAAAAATGTTTAAAAATAGCTAATAAATCAGATTATCTTGAGGTATTATTTCTTGCAAGTCAAAATGGAGAGCAAAAAATCAACCCTAATTTTTAGTTTATGTATACACTGAAAATAGCAACAACAATAAAAATAAGCTTTTTGTAGCAGACATATTCCATCTTCACTATTTTGCTACCTTTGGTAAATTACTGGGGCAGATCTTGAAGTTAAAAACCCATGTTTAGAAATAAGTGCACGCTTCACCCACTAAATATAGCAGCAGACTGTGTGCCCCTACGCAAAAACATTCTCATATCTAGTTTTAACTTTACATATAAAAATAACTTGGAGAAAATACAAAAAAACATTTTATTTTAACATGAAAATATCACAAAAATTAGTAAGCCTGAGATGTAGGGTTTTGGTGAAAAACAAGAGGCTTGTAGTGTTTTGGCTGCTGATAAAGATGCATGTATTGATAGCTGGGGTGAAAAGCAGAAGAATGCACTTATTTCTTCTGCATGTCAGTATCTTCAAACACAGTAAGCCACATGCACCCTTCTCTCCTTATGTAGATGCTGGTTCACCATGTTTAATTCCAGCGGAAGTGGATCTGACGTGGGCGGTCAGCCCCCTCCTTTACCAATGGCTTATGGAATTCACGTCCTGCACGAGAGTGGATATTTGCCCAACAAAACTCACAGTAATACTGCAGGCAAGTGACATTGGCACAAAAGAAAGGAGCAAACTTCCCACCGCACCGCGCACCCTGGCACTCGTCACACATCTGGTCATCCAACACGTATGGCTTTACCTCCACCTGTTGGAGTGAAACAGGAACAATTCCAGTTAATAACTGGATCTACTTGAAGTTGTATGAGGCCATTCATCTTTCTCTGGTTTAAAAAAACCCCAAAACCCAAACCAGAAATCTGAAATCAGTCATATTAAAGCCTTAATCTAACTAATCAGTTATTACTCATTATCATTTATTAGCTACAGATTAACTGTACTGCAGAACACTTCAATGCAGATCTTTAGAAGTACACTGCATATATAATAAATAGCTACTTCAGAAACATCCTTTAGTTTATTTTGGGAGAGTGTTCTTTGCAAATGATAATGTCAAAGTATGTGTAGAAAAAAACCCAAACCAGCTAAAAGGTCTCCCAACTAATCTCATCAGCTCCCAAGTGCACCTCAACAAAACATCCAATTCTATACTGTTTAGCAAAAAAATAACTGAACATATGAGACTGTAGCCCTGTAATGTAGAATCTTTTTAAAAAAATGCCTCTGCATGTACTACTTCTGTGTGCAAATTAAAAGTATTTCCTTCATGCTGTAATACAGATCTTATAGCAGCGCTGTTCTCTGTAAATTCACTCCCTATTTTTAATATATGGTCAGATTTTGACCTACCAATTTTGGTAATCTGTTATTTTCCCTTTTTGTGGTTTCGAGACGTACAGAAATTTGTATTCAATGTATTTCTGAAAATATTTGTTAAAAGACCACTTTCCAAGTCTACAGACTGCTACAAACACCTGTCTTACACAGCTTCTCTCTCCCAAACTCATCTGACTGCCAGAGTGGAAAAGTGGCAGGAGTCCAGTGGTAAATTTGTGTTTTGACTTTGTGTAACTGAGCTGCTACAGGTTGTGATCAGACAGGAAGAAGAACTTCATAATAAAACACAAAATTAGTTGACTCCATCATTAAGGAATGTATTGCTGTCTTCCATATTTTCCTCACTGATGCAAGAGATTTTTTTGTAGATACTGATACCTAAGAAGAACACTACATTTAGACATCGACTGCATGTTTGAAATATTAAGAACTTTTAAATGCTATTTTTTTTCATTTTATCTCCAGAGAAAAAATTTACACATACAGCTACCCACCCTGAAGTCTGACAGCCAAATAGTCTTCAGAAGTAGAGGCCATATTAGAAATGTCAAACAGAGTATGCTTCTTCCAGTAATCTATATTCAGTATGAGATCTACTTCTTATTTCACTAAAACGACCTGCCTTATCACAAATTACACTCAAACTTTCCTATAAACAGGTACCTTATGCAGTAACTGTGTTCGTGGTTCAGAATTACTGAAAACATGAAGCAGCATATATTTCAAGCTTCAGTGCACTAATGCACCAAGATTGGTACGAAGATGATTTAGAATATATTAGAGAAACACTTTGGGGAATGAAGTATTACATGAAGTGGATGCAGACTGCTGGCATATGAAAGTTAACAAAATTTTAAGGAACTGCGTGGAGTTGAAACTCCAAACGAGTTTCAAAGAAATATTTGGAGCTGAGCTTTCATATATGATAAAACAGGATGAGGAACACTTTACTGAAGAAAAACATCTGTTAGAGAAACTAAATATATCTACACATCAAAAGGAGTGGAGAGAACTTAGGTAAGGAAGAAGTTAAGATCACAGACCATGTCTGTCAAGTGACTGTGACACTAAGATTTCCAATTAAGGTAGGAAAAGGTATGTGCAAAAAAAAAAAAAGCTACAAATTCTTTGAACTGAAGTTCAGAAGGATAAACAGGTGAACCATAAAATTTAGCAGTGAAAAAAGACTTTTACAGAGATAAAACTGGCTATGAAAACAATGTGGAAGGACAGCAGACCTACCAAAACTGGATATAACTGGTACAGAAAGGCTATGCTGAGGTAAAGGGTAGAACAGCCTGCCTTCTAGGACTTCAGTGAAATATATACTGACTGTATTACCTTCCTGGCCAGCATACATAAACATCTCGCAGGAAGGGAGTACCCAAAGTAGGACTATCTTCTTCATTTACAAAATCAGTCTTAAAGATTTATATAAACTATTTGCTCATCTCTAAATCAGCAGCAATACTGATTTCAGAATATTTTCAGAGCCTGAAAAGACATTAGCGTAAAAACTCCATGGAGGAAAAACCTATTTCTGAAAAAAGCTTTTTTCACACTTTCAGAAACAGCTAAGATTCAAAGTGTTCCCTAAAAAGAAGCTCTTCTCTATTGCTCCTCAGTAACACAAATAACTTCGTGGTAATTAATATATATAATTATATAAATAAGGTCTGACTGTATGATTTAGATGATTAAAAAATAAAGACTAAAACCCCTCTTAAATAAAAAAAGAAGTTAATAAACCCTCCCCATCATGGTGTTTAAAGACAAATTTATTATAACTCTTAAGATTTGGCACTGCTAATATTTTGCAATACCCCTCAAAAGTAGCACACAAGTTTAAAATAAGAAAAAACGAGAACACTAACAAAAAAGCAGAAATTCAAGATTTAAAAGAACACTTGGGTCAAAAAATTAATTTTCAAGTATTAGAAAAGAACTAAAGAAAGAAAATAAATTACATCAGAAAAAGAAACTGTGCAAATTCAGATCTTTAAAGAGAAAGCCTAGATATTCCTTACTTCTCCCCCCAATCTCTCCAGCCCATGAACAGCTATCTACAGATGCTAACTATACTTGGTGTTTTCTGATTTGTAGGTGTTTTGTTTGTTTGTTTGGGGGGGTTGGTTTTTTTGTAATAGTGATTGAAGAAATGATTTGAGTACTGTTGTTATAAATTAAGTCTCAATGGATATATGTCAAATGCTGCATTTTTCATATCTAGTATTTGGGGTAGATCTGTGGTTTTTTTTTCCTCCACTCCAGGCTCCAAGAGGCCTGCAGTCCACCTCCCCCTTAAAAATTGCAATGTTATATCACAGATTAACAAGCTACATTCCTTTCTTTGCAAACAGCAAGCACTGCCATTTCAGATGCTTCCTCAGCATCCCAAGAGCCCTTAAGATCTCTGCTGACCTATCATAAGAAACCCAAAACAACAAAAAAACATACGTGGAAGTGCAGCCTTCAGAGTCAGGTTCATGCCTTCCTTTCTCCTACAAGATGGCACTGCCAGTCTACCATATACTTCTCTACCACAAAGGACACTCCAATGGGAAGAGGAAAACCAAGATAAAAGTGTCCCCTAGTTTACACATTTCAAGTCCATGCCTCCCACGTTTGGGGGTGAACTAGTCTGGATGGGGCCCAACTGTCCGCATCTCAGTTTTAAAATCAGGTGACTTCATGGCCAAATGCCCTTCAGAGAGTTCCTGAAACACACTAAAAAATACCCAATTCTGAAGCTAAATGACCCAATTAGCATTGTTTAGAAGGAGTTCTGGATTCTGGTCCTTACTCCCATTTTTTCCAAATACTCAAATGCAAGATGAGTAACAGTTTTATTTCCCGTCACACAGACAGAGTATAAAGGCCATTTTTTCTCTTACATAACTATCCAAAAGGTAAAGCTATTAGTCAATGTCAGTTGCAAGTCACAAGGACAGCAATTCCACAACCAAAATACAGCCATCACATCTTAACATGAAGCCTACTTCACTACCCACATCCAGACCCACTCATCCTTCCTCTGGGAAGGAGCATGTTTGGAGACTTCAGCTCACAAGGCAAGCAATATTTGAAACACACATGTAAAAGCTGTATTATTCTGCCTATTTGAAAGGAAAGAAGCACATGCTGCATCCCTAGAGCAGAATTCAGTTAACTGCACTACTTTCTTTTTCCCATGTCTTTGATCTGTAGAGGAGACTGGACCTTGAACTACTTTACTTACTCAATCCTTCCTCCTTTAAGACCTTATTTTTTTTAAGAGCACCTATTAATGCCAGACTACCTTTGCAGTTCTTGACATCAAAACTAGTGACCCTTAAAATTGACATAATTTAGATGCCAATTTTCTTTGATACTCTTATAGTTTTAATTAGGAGTAGTAAAGTTGACTAGTCTTCTTAACGTAAGTCAGTTTTGCTTTAGCTAGCAATAAGCAAACAGAAATGTGCATTGGTAAATACTAAGAAGACTCTCAGAAACAATAAGGCATTTTGTATTTTAGGTGTTGAGCTTTATCAACTTTCTGAGCACTGACAATTATGGCTGCAATTAAGGGAAGCTGCAAATATAAAGCTAATTTGAAGCCAATGAATACTAGAGTTTCCTATGAATGACAGACAAATTATCACAGTATTTGGTTTCATTAGAACAAGGGAGAGAAAGACTTTCAAGCCCTTTGCCCATACACAGCAAAACCAGGAACTCCAGAATGGGAAGAACATATGGTCCAACACATGTCAAAGAACAAGGTGCTGCTCTGTGGAAAGCACGTTGTTCTCGTTTGGGGCATTCACAGCATACTCTTGAAAGTAGTGGAGTTATATTAATGTTACAAGAGACGTAGGAAGATGGCACGAAAGCCAATCAAATGCAATGTTACCACACTCCGAGAAATTTCTTTATAGGTCATTAGTCTTTTTTTTTTTTTTTTTAATTTTTGCGTAACTTACTCGTTTATCAATATCGCCATGCTGAAGTTGAACAAACCGAGCACTGATGGCAGCAATGTAACTCTGCTGATTGGAAAAAGCAACACGTCCAGCACCTTTTGGGTATTTCAGCTCAGGGTCAGTATCAATTCCTGCGTAACAAACTCCACCATAGAGACGGTCCATGATCATGGCCAATTCCACTATTAAGAAATGGAAGAGTGTGCATTTAAACTGCTCTTACAGTACAAACTTAATATGCTCGTTTAAAAATACCAGAAAAGTTAATTTTAATTATTAATTTTGCAATAGCAAGTGTAACAGTAATAACAACATAAAAAGTATTAAATAAACTATTAAATATTCAGCAGACAGATCTTTCATGCTGTGGGTACATACATCCAAGGAACAATGGAACTGTAAGTCCTTGACAACCTGGAACTGGAATTCCAGGGCAGTTTTCTTCAGGGGATTACAGCAAAAGATTTTTTGGGCAGGCAGAGAATATAAGTTGTATAAAATAGATCCACATGCCACCGATTCCTTGGTACATGTTCTCTGGCTGTCCTAATGCTCTATGTCCTACTTGAATTTAAAGATGTAGTTAGTGTCTTTTCACCAGCCAACAGGGCTTGATTATTTCTACAGTGCTACACTTACCACACATACAGAAATTCAGAGAAACAAAAATTTAAATTTATAATCTGATTGCCAGATTATACTGAAATCAGTTCTGCAATTCATTCAGGTGGAAAATACTGTTTTTTCAGAATTAGTATCCTCTGTATTAAAGGTGTCAGAAGTTACTGATGTTCAATATTTGAAGAGTCTCCTAAAGTTTTACTGCTTTAGTGAATTCATTATTCCTATTTCACAATACCATAAAAGTTTCATTTTCCCATACACAAGGCATTCGAAAGCTAAGCAGAAGAATTCATCCATTTAACTTCTGACAGACATTCAGCACAGTAATCTGGAGCACTGAACTGAATTTAAAGAAAAATTAATCTGCAGTTTGAACATACTATGTTTATGCTCATTTACAGAGTTTGTACTACAACTGAAAGTAGAGTCCTAAAAGTAAAATAACAGAAAAGTTTGAGCATTGCAGGTCCAAGATAGAAAAATTTTAAGATCCTTTATATACCAAATTTGCACTATTGCTTCTTGGTTTTCCTACATCTTCCATCTAAAAGCTCATCTTTCTCTACGAATAAAATGCATTACAAACTCCGAAAGACTAATGAAATCCAGGAGTCATTCTAATAAAAAATGGGATTTGAACCACTGCGCGTTATGTTTCTACTTCCAACATTCACTGCAGCCTACTTACTAGAAAGCCACCTAAAACACTGTAAAAGGCTACTGCAGCCAATCTCAAAATACAGACTGTCCAGGTTGTAGATCAACCATTCCACTGCTGCAGAAACATTTATTTTTTCCTTCACATATCCGGCAAGAGTCTAGAAAGAGCCCTGCAATTTCATACGGTGTTGTGCCACACAGATTGTGTTAGCTCTCTGAATTTCTTCCCTTTTTCCTCTATTCCTACTCATTCAAGTACTCCATCACCTGTGGTTTTGAGTGCACTAAGAGTAACTGCAACCTGACAGCAGTAAAAGAGTAGCTAACGTGCAATGACAAGCAGGTACAAATACAGCTCCAAGCAGTCATGGAGCAGGGCAGAGATCTTTCTGTAGCATTATTTTAAAAACAAACTCTTTATGTCTTTTGTGACATACTTTACACTACAGTTTTGCTAATGTGATGAAAATTTTTTCTACAGCTTTAGACAGGTAACAGTTTCCAGTAAATCTCAATGATGAACTGTGATTTATGGCCAAAGCCAGATGAAAACAGTTAGTAGCGAAATGTAAGAATACACAAATATTGTAGTGCGGTTATAATGTCATGACAGTGTTCTATTTCTATATGTATATATCTATCCATACATAAAACATGCACGGGTCAAATTATTTCCAATGATTTCCTACTTTTAAAAATTGCCACAGATTATACTCACCGGCTCTCAATGGTCTAGGGACTCCTCCAACAAAAATTGTTTTTCGAGGATCAAGTGGCTGTGAACCATCCATCACGAAGTCACTATCACTTAGATTCCAGGGACGTATCTGAACCTATTAAATGGAGAAAGAAAACAGTATCCTACTTTAAATTTCACTGCAACATTGATTTATGTTCATCAGCCTATGTAACTGTCAAACAGTCATAACCTCATTAGTTTAGCATGTCTAGGTGCTCTGTTTTAATCTCATTAATTCAAAGCACTACAACTTTAAAATAATCCACATGTTCCAGATGTTGAGCTCTGCCAACGGTAGTTTACTTTTATTTTCCTCGTCATGATTTCCAATGCAGCTTTAGACAGATGGCAGTTATAGCCTGCAGGCCATCCACTGTGCACTCACTGGCTTGTCCTTGATAGTAGGGCTGGAAACACACAGATAGAGCTTTCCGTCTTCTTCAATGCAGGCGTCAATCAGGGCCTGAACTGAACTCTCTTCTTGGAACAGGAGGAATGCATAACCTGGAAAAAAAGCCAAACCAACTGATATATTTTATCTTTATTTTACATAATCATCTTTGCCAGTGACTTTTCCATACAAAAGTAAAAGAAAGTCAAAACAAGTCTTCCTTATCAGTCATCTTAACTATGTAGTACCTTGCCATAATTAAACAGAACTTCTATCTGTAAAAAATTGTCAGAAGAGACTAATAACCAAATCAAAGCAAATATGTCTGCTCTATCATGTACTGAAGTCTAGGCTGAACATATTCATTGGCTGCAATGAACATTATACAATGAAAATCCGACTTGGCACAAAGGACTAATCTCTATTCTAGAGATTAGATCAAAGTACTTTATTACATAAGTGACCCAGCAAGCCTTCCAAACACTACAAAAATAGGCATTAAAATGCTTATTTAATGCTACAGTAAAAACAAACTGTCAGACATGCAAAGAACCTCACGTATAGAATACTTTAACATTACAGTATGATATATACTAAATCTGTTACTTTACAAATACCCAATAGCACAATTAGAGTTGTATTCTAAACCAAACTTTTAAAGGACCATAAATCACATTTCCTTCTCAGATTGCTACCAAGTATGGAATTTTCACACAAGGTTATGTTTTACTACTTGGATGGCAAAATAAACACTGAAGCAACCAGGCTTGGGAAAACAGAACAGGGGTACATTTAGCAAGCCTTATGGAAATGATGCTCTATTTCTGAGAGAAGGTAGTTAACCACCAGCCATTTCTTACTGCAACCAGACACTACAGGTCACCAAGGTAAAAATGGTGGGGTGCATATCTTGGAGACCACTAATGAATCAATGCCTTACCAATGTGAGATTTGAGAAACAAATGCGCAGTTGATTTTTTAAATGTATGGGGAAAAAAGTAGGATTTAAAGAAAAAGCTGTAAGGCCTATTCTGGTCTAATAACTTGTAGTTCATTTTTTACCCCTCATAACAGTCCCATCTGAGCTACCTACAAGGGACACATTACAGGGTTTTATGTATTCTATATTTTTATGTAAATCTTATTTAGTTTCTTAAAAAACATGTCATAGGGAAAATCCGGGCTTGGGTTGAAGCATTTCCTAGTAAAATCTATTCTTCATTTCGTAGCAATTTTTTTAGTGACAACCTCTTTAGCTTAAGCTTAATTAGTAATTGTTTAGATTCAAAATCCATTTAATGAGGATATCTTTAGCTACACATCTTAAAATTTTAAATCCACATATTAACCATGTAAAACTCATTCACTGAATGAGGGCACGTGCAGACTGGCAGGGGTGAGATCAGACCCATGTAACTGTCTTTACTTGGGTGGAAGGCAGGCACACACATTCCTGTTTGAATGCAGAGCTCAGTAGAAGAACGATGGGAGTGCAAAAACTGTATTAATCAAAGCGAGTGTTAATTGAACATGGTACTGACTAAGGGATCAGACATACAAAGTAAGATTTTGCCAGACGCTGGTTTTCCATCAGTTCTTATCCTAAAGCAAATCAAGGGCCTGGATCAATAGGCCAAGGCCAATGGTATGAAGTTCAGCAAGGCCAAGAACTGGCTCCTGCACTTGGGTCACAACAACCCCAGGCAGCACTACAGGCTGGGTAGAAGAGTGGCTGGAAAGGTGCCCAGTGGAAAAGGACCTGGGGGTGCTGTTTGACAGCCAGCTAAACATGAGCTAGCAGTGTGCCCAGGAGGCCAAGGAGGCCAAGAAGGCCAGTGGCATCCTGGCTTGTATCAGAAACGATGTTGCCAGAAGGACCGGGGCAGTGATTGTCCCTCTGTCCTTGACAAGGAGGCCAAACCTCAAGTCCTGTGTCCAGTTCTGGGCCCCTCACTACAAGGAGGACATTGAGGTGCTGGAGTGAGTCCAGAGAAGGGCAACGGAGCTGGTGAAGGGTCTGGAGTACAAGTCTGATGAGGAGCAGTTGAGGGAGCTGGGGGTGTTTAGCCTGGAGAAATGAAGGCTTGGGGAGGACCTTATTGCTCTACAACTACCTGAAAGGAGACTGTAGTCAGGGGGTAGAATCATCTTTTCTCCCAGGTAACAAATGATAAGACAAGAGGAAACACCCTCAAGTTGTGCCAGGGGAGGTTTAGATTGGGCATTAGGAAAAATTTCTTCACTGGAGGGACAAGCATTAGAATCACTGTCCCTGGAAGTGTTCAAAATACAGGTAATGTGGTGTTTAGGGTTAGTGGTGGACCTGGCAGTGTTATGTTAATGGCTGGACTTGATGATCTTAGGGGCCTTTTCCAACCTTAATGATTCTATCGCCATATACAGAGAGAGACAATCCCTCCCAAAGAACCCTAGACTTGTACAGTCTGCATACAACCTACTCTCCATCACTTGCCTGATTATAAATTAGCCATCAACTTCTCTGAAGAACACTGGTTACGCAGGACACCACCCTACATACATTAGCTAGAAAGTGCCTGCAAAGGGAAATTACACTCTTATCTTCCATATTTCATTTAGAAATCATAAATTAGGGCTATTCTCGTTACTATGGCTACTACATGCCAACAACTGCACGTCACAAACATTATTCTTACCATTTCTGTTTCTCAATATTTTTTTTAATTGGAATTTTTTTCACCTTAACATCCATAACCCATGAAGTATTGGGGATGTTTAACATCTAAAAAGCCAGAATAGCAGTAAAAGCCACATGTGATTAAAAAGGTACCTAACTACTCTTTTTGTGAACTACAACTACCATGTGTGATAGAAAGTACGCGTCACACTGAAACACGCTGGGGAGGTAGCGTGAAGTGTATGAGGTGTTCTACTGTACTACAAAACACTTTAACTCCCTAGTTTCTTGTTTTTGGGGGGTAACACAGTCATTTAACTTGAACAGCTTCACACCCAATAGCCATTTAAGCATGTTTACAATGGAAAAGCAAAGCTACTCTAATAGGTTTTTCAAAGGAATCTACTTCATACCTTTGGGTGATATGTACATTTCAGGTATCACAGACCAAGAAACAAAGATTGTATGTTCTGTCCATATTTCACAAGGTGAAAAGTATTAAATGAAACAGTTTTATAAAAATTTGTTGTTCATGTGCATCTCTACCAGAATTTATATCTCCTGTGGGAGTTGAGGTCTAGGTAACCCCGTTAGTGTTTATCACTTGACTACATTCCTCTGCATAACACTGAAACTATTACTAATACTCCTATTTTCAAAGGCAATCAGTGTAGGTAACTTTGGTAATATACTCATCCTTAGAAAATTACCTTAAATAATAAATAAATCTTTCTGAAGATAACTAGCTTTAGAGCTACGTTCCCTGATACCTAAAGATACTGCAGTGGTTATAGTCATGAGCTGACATTTCTTTTAATAAAACAAGACCAAGAAATTATGTATTTTTTTAACGTATTTGGTCCATCAGGTAAGTTTGAAGAGTCCTAGTTGTACTACCAAATCAGCCCATTTCTTTTTTTCTTGTATTTATTATATAAAGAACAAATCAAAAGCAAAACATTCTAGACTAGATTCACATTATTTTCTGAGAAAGGAAGAAAATGTCTTTATTTCACAGTAATATGGAAATTTACCAAAAGAAGAAAGGACACTTCTGCTATGCACACTCTGTAGACATCAGAGACCAGCTCTAAGTTCTATCAACCTCCAGCTAACTCCTGTCACTAGTGGCTTAGAGTGGATGTTGAGAAAATCAGTGCAAGCCAGCATGGTGCTGCCCATGTCAGTCATTATAGCCGTGTTTTGTTCTGCGGTTGGTTCCCCTACTGACAGGCTCTTCCTGGAGAAGACTAAATGGCAATTCTTGCCTAGAGAATGCTGCATCTTAGCTTAAATCAGAAAAAAATCAGTGTAAAATGCAGGTTAATACAGACAATGGATTGACATGACAATGGGAATAGTTCAAATTTGTGAAGGACACATCTCACCTATTCCTCCTTAAAGAGGTCCCATCACCACATTAATTAAATCTTTAAAACAAATCTTTCATTTTTCCATTTAGTCACCTTTGATGGAGAATTAACTCTAAAATACACTGTAAGTGAAAAAACGTGGTGCTGCGTCACATTTATGATACCTGTGTAGTTAGTCAGTCTGGGTAAATGAATGAAGCTCGATGTGCTTATGTTACAGTGACCTGAATAGCCCTCTGTACTCCACTGGTTGTACTGGCCAGATTCCCATTGATTAAAGGAAGCTTAGGCACTAATCACACATGAAGACACCTACAGTTACTTGCCTGAATCCAGAGTTTGATCCTACCCAGTGTGATCAAATTAGCTGGTAACAAGTTTAAAAGAACTTGCACAGACCTGGGGTTTTGCTTCTTAAACAAGAAAAATACATTTTCAACCTGATTTTTTCAGTCAGCTCTGAATTGCAAGTTAAAAATATTGAAAAAAGCTACCACACAACTGCTGTGATACAAGGCAGCAGAAAAAAACAATGAGAAAAGGCTGGGGACACTGTCCTGTTTAAATCAGATTATCCTCTGTTTGATACAGACTAAAATAGTACAGAGGACACAAACAACCAGACACATTTTGAAAGGCCTTCTTTAGATTTGCATATCCTCATGGCACCATTTCTTTGAGAGCTTCATTATCACAAGGAGTCCTCAATCCAGCAAGTTACTTTGGACATGTGTATTGTTTCATAAGTAAGTGTGTTTGCCAACTACGTAATAACATGAGTTATGATAAACAGTTGCAAGTCAGAAAGGAAGGAATTCTCCATTACAGTTGGCAGATCATAGACTTTGTACTTTGAGCTCAACAGAATTTTTTTTTCAGAACAGAGTCTCCCTGTAAGATCAGTGTGAAATTTTAAAAAATCCTATTTTCTTTGGGTCTAATTTTGTGGTGAACCAATACAAAATATAATTATTTAAGAACAAGCAGTTGGTGTTTCTCAGGAGGCAGCCTTGATGGATTAAGACACTACTTGCATTTCTTTCAGCAAGGAAACACTTATGAACTTGGCCTTCCCTCAGGACCTTCTGTAAGTAGAGAGCCTGGAAGGAACTGCAGCCTGGAAAACTGAACAACAGTAAAAAAAATAAAATAATAAAAAAATCAAACAGGCTGTATCTCTGCACTGCAGAGAAGACTTCTGTGAATCTGTCCAGAATGGGATAATTCTGAGACGTCTTTGGAAAGTAATACTATGGCAAATCTCTAACAAGACTGAACAAAGAAAAATACATACACTGAATTGATTAATTGTGGAGTGACAAATTAGAAAATGGAGACTGAAAACAATAAAAACTAATATAGTATATATTTCTCAACTGGTAATTATTTTGCCTATCAGCAGTTTCAGACATCTTATTAAATATATGTATACATGGTTCTTGTCTGTACACTCAAGTAGTAGTAAAGACAGACAAATTTTTAAGAAATTCTTCTACAAAATAATCATGGGTCATATGTACGGCATTGAAGAAAACAGATATATACACGATAACAGTCAGCAGTTAAATGTGTCCAGAGTATTTACAAAGAGAAAACTATACTGTATTTTAACTGTGTTAGGCTACATTACAAAAAAAAAAATTGAGTAATGCAGCAAACTGAAAATTAGGCTAAAGTTTTAAGACTGAAGAACAGTAAGCACGATTAAATTTCAAATAAGTCAGTTAATCATGGGAAATCAACTTAGCGCTTAGTTTGCAAGTGTTTCCTGAATTAATTAGATCAACACACTGAAGTTCTTCCATTTTTATCCTCTGCCTTTAAGAAGCTCTGCTTACAATACAGATTTATTTTAATTTGTTTCTTAAGGTGATAACTATAAATAACTCAACTATATAAAAAAGCTTTATTAAATGAGGAAGTCTAGAAATATATCCTTAAGATGTTCAGATGCTGAGACAGGACTATCTCCTTGGAAACGAATGCCAGAATCCATTCCTTTCAGGTAAGAATATATTACATCTTCCATCTTCTATATATTCATCACAGACTCTGTGAGATGCATCTTCCTTAAAGAGTTCCTTGGGAATTTCTCTTGGTAATTTATGAAGAAAAATGCACTCCATAAGATAATCAAATTTAACTTGACAGTAGTTTTGTGTGTCAGGCTAACAATCAAAAAAAGTCAAAGTCTCTTTGTTTGTCTTAGAATTTCCATGTAGCATTCATAAATGCTATTCAAGTAATTTCAATTCTATTTCCCACTCTTTAGAGAACCCATCGGGGATAATAATCCTGTTTTTCCCCCAGTATAGATGCTCAGACAAATGAAGAATCAGTTTACAAAGGAACTATACCTACCCTTCTGTCACTTCCACGGAAGGAATGAATTGCTACAGTCTCTACAAAAAAATCACTAACCTTTGCATTGCTTTCATATCCAGATCAGACCTTTGCATTTATTTTATGTGTAACAATACATGATTGTACACGTAGAGAGATATGCTACATAATTTAATTACTTAATCTACATAATGGTTTTTCCAACACTTTGTGACACTAAAAAGTCTAGTCTAACAGCAACACTAGAAATTGTTAAATATCAATATTTAATCATTTATCAAGAAAGACTAGTGCTTCAATAAGATTTCACATCCTAGAACTGAAAGAAGCATAATATTTGATTATCTTGATCAGGTACCCAAATGCACTGTTCTGAATCCTGTCTTTAACTTCCTAGGAAAATTTTTATCTAAGATTTAGTCTTACAAAAATCGACCAAATTTCAGTTTTGGAAACTAGACAGAAATGCAAGTAGAGAGCTGTGGCACATGTAACTACTTAATGCTGATCTGATCAGGCACAATACCAAAACAACAGGTTTTAGACTTGGTATGTAAAGGAACCATGTCTGAACCTGCAGTGAAATGACATATTAACTGTTCACAGGGACTAGAAAAAAAAAATGAGACAGTTACCCAGAGTAAGATTTGCACTCAGTGACAGGTCAAAACCTTCCAACTCTCTTACCTTTTGGTGGAAAATAGGACTTGCTCTCTGCTTTGTGAGGCCAGTCTACTACCAAAGGCCCAAATCGTCTGAAGCTAGCAGTAATTTCATCTAAAACCAGGTACAATAGTTAAAATTAATGACATAACTCAATGAAAAAGAACTATCAAGCAAAGACATTTGTTTCTAGCAAAGGTTGACATTTCAAGGAAAAGAAAGAACAAAATTTACAACTTTCATGAACAAAAAACTTAAATAGACACATCTTCCAAAGAGTTAATATTCACATAATGTATTTCTGGTGATTTTAAGCTTATATTTGTTTGTTATTACTTAATAACAGCAGCACTTCAGAATCATATTAGCAACTGAAGGCAGTGGTGAAAACTTGTGTGGTACCTCCCTTAATTCAGAATCTGGTTTGAATGTAATCAAATCAATTTATTGTTTAGTGATTTAGTACAGTTGGAGCTTTGTAAGTAGATATTCATATACCAAGTACTACCACAATTAACACATTAGCAGTTTCCAGACTATGCATGTATCAGACACAGAAACTTAAAAATGTCTATTTAAAAGTGCTTCTAACACAAGCACGAATAGTCCTGTTATGAGATCTACTATGGCCCTTGCACAACTTTGTGATGTCTTTCTATTCTTCCTGTTATTGACTGGAAGAGCCTTGGCCATGAGGGAAAAATACCTTAAACTGTATACAAAAGCAGTAACTCAAACGCAAACATGCTCCATCATTTCTCTCAGTTGTATCTACCATCAGCATATAAACAGGCAGGAAAGAAAGAAAATGTATTTCCACGTGTTCTTCTTTAGCATTTGTATTAGAGGCAACTGTGCTGAAGTGTATTAAAATAAATCCTTTAGTACATTGTAACAGAGCATCTCAATAAAGATGGTCCTTCCATGTCTAAAAGTTAATTAAACACAGTCAGCCTATTTGGTTTGCAAGTTACTCTAGGATTACAATGAACCTTGTAAAAGGACTTCTGTTTACATTACAAAGCTAGCATGCAATTTACATCTGTCTGCACAGGAGAACAGCACGATTACTACCAATCAGCACTATGATACAAAGCAATTCCAACTGCATTGCTGAACAGTCCGAGCTTCTGTGGTAACACCTTTGTGGTTCAATGCATCAGAGCACTCTGCCACTTGACCTTCCTCTGCCTTAGTTTCTCTGTTTCTGAACAGGAATAATATTAACCTTTCTATACCACTGCTGAGATCTTCAGGTAGTAGTAAAATAGAATATGAAATTCATTTACAAAGGGAAGCTTTCTATGAATACAGAATAAAGCAGGCATAGAGGATGGCTAAGATGTATTTGAAAGGAGTATGCAAGATAAACAGGAGCACAAATTCCAGGCATCACATGGAACTCCACAATCTGCAAGTGCAGAATCAGAAACAACTGAATCATCTCAAAGCCAGAAGAGATGATATTAAGCTCAACGCACCCATTAACTCTCAAAGAACATATAGCTGTAGCCTTTCACATCATAACATTATTTTGCTGAGTGGATTATTTCTACTACTTCATTCGGGTTTTTCCAGATCTCTCTTTATCTCTCCCTCCAAACTTAGTCTGCTCAGTTTTCAGGCAACTCACCTTCATCAATATCTGGTGGAAGACCCCCAACAAACACTTTCCGAGAAAAACGCTCAATTCGTTCTCCATTCTGATGAGCTGAATAGCAGGTAGGTGAATTTAAGACTCCAACTTGATCACTGTGACCATCATCCAGCAAACCATCATCTATTGGGAAGAGGGAAGAACGGCCTTAAAAAGAAAAGATAATAATATACATTAAAATAATTTTGTGGCAATACATCGTTATGTAATTTTAGGGAATGGGGAAAGAGCAGTCTGGAAAGTCAAAATGAAAATACCAAGGTATTAGAAAAGTACATATTAGTTTTAAGAAAAATTAAGAAAATGAAAGATGTATTAAACTTCAAAAAGGAATTTCAGGATTGCAAGCTGACATCACTCTAAGTGTAATACTTCATACTACATTATACTGTAGTTACTCTGCTGCATCCAGTAGGAAGGTGGTAATTTGGTTTTAAATAAAGGGTCTTATGAAGAGAAAAATATTATTGCCTGCTTAAGTGAGTTTCATTAGTCTGCCTTTGGTTTAGCTTCAAGTTAAGTGGTAACTTCCTCCACCTGAATGACTACTGCATGTCTAAAAATCTTACATTTTAATTGAACAAAGGGAAACAGAAAAATCATGGGCACAGTAACAAGTTTCAAACAGGTATGTTTCTCTTCTAAAGGTATCTGATGCTGATAACACAAGGACAAATTTCTAAGAAAATAAATAATTTTAAAATGCATGCAAAATGTAACACTTGAAAAATGAGTCACAGTGCTGATTTATGCTCCCCGCTCTCAATTTACCACAGTTTTGGAGCAAAGCCTTGTGGTGGTTCCTAACACGTAGTAACCTGCAGTGAGATTACAGTTACCCTGAAATGGAAGTGTAAAATCTGAGAAGTTCACAGGATGGCTTTGCAAATGCGATCTGATCAAAACAGACATAAGAGGGAAGTAAGAACGTGGTAATTCTGCCCCACGTTCATTTCCTATTTCATTCTTACAAATTTTCAAGAAAGACAAAAAAAAAAATTTTGTAAGGCCATTCATCTTAGCTTATTCAGTCTTTCATTGCTTTAGATCAGCAACATAAAGATTAATGACAGTTTCAAATTCAGAAGTCAGTCTATTAACTGAAAAAAGATGAAAAAGAAACAATTTCATGAAGCAAAACACATAGCCCACATCATCATTTCTTCTAAAATGCAATTTTCCCTATTTCTCACTCATTTAAAAAATAATTATTAATAATTCAACTGCTTTCCCAAAAGAAGCAAGAAAACCAAACCAAAAAACAACCTAGCACGTTTCTGGGAAGTAAGTTAGTTTTCCGTCTCAAATAGCCAACTTATTCCAGATTCACTCACTGGCAAATCCAAAGGCAGGAGCAGTAGGTCCCTGACAGCAGAGTCTGCAGTGCTTTAGCTGTAAGCAATTCCGCAGTCTCCTAATTCTTCTCCCCGCTCAGGGGAACAGTGCCAGGAAAGCCTGGTAGGAACACTTGCAGACCCAATGCCAACCAGTTAAGCGTGAGAGCATTATGGAAGCCCTCATTTCCAGAAGACCACCTGAGAAACAGGTGCTTAAAGACAAGGCTGGAGAACAGACAGCAACCACTATGACCAATAACCTATGTTATGGTGATGCCTATTGCCCCTGATGTTGTGTCTCATCAAAAACACTGAATGAAAACACAGGACGACATAAAACAACAAAACATCATAAAATGTCATGAGGAGCACAAAATAAAATCAGGACTACAGGGACTGTACCAAATAACAAAGACTGTAAACTACATCATTTTTATGATGGCATATCTATGTCTTCAGCAGGTATATGATGGAGATGAGTACAGCAAATGCAGAAAGATGCAGCAGGATTCTTCCCTTTCATTAAGATTGGGGATAGGATGTTTGGGAATAACTAGCAGAGTGCAAGTGATGGCATCCCTAGATGGTGCTCAATGGGGCAGAAAAGTGAGGAAGCAAGGGAGAAACAAGGCTAACACAACTGGAAGAAGCAGTCAGGCAAATTCTTCTTGTAAACCAACAACTTAGGCATAAGAGGAAGAAGGTCATGCTATGAAGACTGTTCCAGCTGAGTAATGTGGATATGAATTTCAGTTAT